TACAAGCTTTTAATTTGTTTTGTTTTGGTTTTTTTTTTTTTTTTTTTTTTTTTTTAAATTTTTTTGAGACAGTTTCTCTGTGTAGCTTTAGAGTCTGTCCCAGAACTCAATCTAGAGACTAGGCTGGCCTCAAACTCAGAGACCACCTGCCTCTGCCTCCTGAGTGCTGGGATTAAAGGCATGTGCCACCACTGCCCAGCCAAATTTTTTATTTTTTGGGTTTTTGAGACAGGGTCTCTCTGGCTGTGCTGGTACATACTATGTAGACCAGTCTGACTGCTGCTTCTGTATTCCAAGTGCTGGGATAAAAGGCATGTGCCACCATGTCCTATTTATTTTACTTTTTGGAGACTGTCTTGTGTGCCCTAACATGTTATTAAACTTGTGAAGCCCTTTGGATCTTTCTGCTTCTACTTCCTGAATGCTAAGAATCATAGCTGGGCCTTCTTGCATGCAGAGAACCCTACCAACTGAGCTTTGTCCTTAGCCTTTTTATTTTTTATAATATAAGAATACTATCCTTTAATCCCAGCACTCTGGAGGCATAGGCAGATGGATTTCTGTGAGTTTGAGGTCAGCCTGGTTTACAGAGCAAGTACCAGGACCAGCTCCAAAGACACACAGAGAAACCCTGTCTTGAAAAACCAAGATAGATATATAGATAGACTATCCTTAAGGATTATGTAATGTCATTAGGCAAGTACTGAGCTGAAGGAATTCCAAGGTGATGACTAATGACCAGCTCTTGATAACCTTTACCTGTTTGATCAATTGTTGTGTTAATACCTAGCGCTACTGTGACATGGAACAGCCTAGCAGAATTGTGTTAGGTGGGTGCTGGGGCCTTGCATTTTCTTCTTGGCTTTTTGGTCAGGATCAAATGTGATAATTTATAGGTGATTAAGTCTGTTGGTTTCCTTAAAAGGAAAGAAAAAAGAAAGAAAAAAAAGAGAAGGTCTTGCATAAGACAACCCAGGTTGTCCTCAAATTCACTATGTAGCCAAGGATAACCTTGAACTTCTTTCTGATCCTCCTTCCTCTACCTCCCAAGTATGAACTACCACACTGGTTTTATTTGGTACTAAGGATCAAACTAGGGCTTCATGCATGCTAGGCAAGCAGTTTACCAACTTAGCTACTTCCCCAGCTCAAGATAATGTGTTAACATCACATTATGTGTGAGGAAACGAATTTACTAAAGTCCTATTTAGGGAATCAAACTCAGGGTTATCTAACTTTATTTTTGTTGTTGTTGTTGTTATTTTTTTTATCCTTAATTATCATTGAGACAGGTTTCTTACTTTGTAGTTTCAACTGGCCTAGGATTTGCTTACATATACCAGGCTGACCTCAAACTCAGAAGATTGCCCCTCTGTCTCCAAAGTGCTTGAATTAAAGGTGTATGCCACCATGCCTGGCCGATTTTTGTTTTGTTTATTATTACTATATAAATGTGTGTGTGTGTGTTTTGAGACATGGTTTCTCTGTAGATCCACCTTCCTCTTCCTCCTCAGTGCTGGGATTATTGGTGTGCATCACCACCACCTGGCTAATTGTATGATTTTTGTTTGTGTTGTCTGTCAGTGCAGATGCGTACATGTGGAAGTCAGAGGACAACTTTCCAAAGTCATTCTCTCCTTCCACTATGGATTCTAGGGATCCAACTCAGGTTGTCAGGCTTGTGTTAACGAGTAATTTTACCAACCAAGCCATCCCTCTTGTTCCTGCTCTAACCTTGGAAGCTGTGTCTTGCTGGGTTCCATGGTACTTGATTGTAATCTCAGAATTTGAAGGGTGAAACAAGGATTACTTCAGTCTATAAGGAGATCAGATTCTGGTGTGCATGAAGATAGAGCACTCATATACATAAAATACATGAATAACTAAATCTTTTAAAAAAAAAGTTTGGAGACCAACCAAGGCAACCTAACAAGATTTTAACTCTGCTAATTGGGCTTGCTGCCAGGTGGTGGTAGTTCAAACCTTTAATCCATCACTCAGGAGGCAGAGGCAGACAGATACCTGTGAGTTTCAGGACAGTCAGGGCTACACAGAGAAACCCTACCTTAGAAAACAAAACAACAACAAAAAGAACCCAAAATGTCTTGGATTTCTGTTGTAATTTGGGGGCCATTTTCTTTCATAACACCACATTCTACTCCCTGGCCTTCAAAGGCTTGTAGCCACATCATAAGGAGAAAAATGCATTCAGTCCAATTTCAAAAGTTTCCATAGTCTGTCACAGTCTCAGTGTTTAAAAGTTCAAAGTTTCAAGCTGGATGGTGGTGATGCCTTTAGTCCCAGCACTTGGGAGGCAGAGGCAGAGGGGATCTTTGTGAGTTTGAGGCCAGCCTGGTCTATAAGAGCTAGTTCCAGGACAGACTCCAGAGCTACACAGAGAAACCCTGTCTCGAAAAGACAAACAAAACAAAACAAAGTTCAAAGTCTCTTTTGAGATTCATGCAATCCCCTAACTATAATTGTAACCACCTTTAAAATAATAATAATAATAAAAAACCATGCTTCTAACTTGTTGTGGAGGCAAATCCCATAGCTTCTTCTATCCTTAGCTCCAGAGGCATGTGGCTGAAGCTGCCAAGTTCTACTGCTTACTGGGGCTTGAACATGGCTGCTGCATTCACCAGCTGTTTCCCATGGTTGCTTTTACTGTCTAAACTTGGCTGTTCTGGAACTTCCTCTGATGGCCAGGTTGACCTCAAACTGCAAGATCCACCTGCTTCTGCCTTCCGTGTGCTGGGATTAAAGGTGTGCACCACCACACCTGGCTCTGAGTTTTTCTTTAGTTCATTTTCACCAGTTGGAAATTAGGTGAATGGGAATTTGCCCTTGAGATCACCACTCCCTTTATTCTATCTCTTAATCTGTTTATCCCCTTGAACACTGACATTCCATTTCCTGGTGTTCCTTTTCTCCTCAAATATTTTTCCTGCTCAGCTTGCTTCTTATATTATTTTCGTTAGAGTTAACACTTGTAACCACACAACAGAGTCTATACTAGGCTGCTTTGAGATTTCCTCTACCAAGGGGAAATTAATCCAGAATTCTTTAGCCTCAGCCAAACTTTTCAGACCACGGCAAACATACTCAAATTTTTCTCTGAAACCTCATGAGCCAGTCAGTCCCCCACCCCCTCACCCCACTGTTCAAATCACTTAGTACCACTGTCTTCCATGGCCCACTAAACAGTGCTCAAAGCATTCCACTGCTTTCCTAACCCAAACTCCCAAAATTCATGTGTTCATATTCCTCCAAACAAAAGCATGGTCAGGCCTATTACAGCAGTACCCCAGTCCCTGCTACCAAGTTCTGCTTAGTGTTTCTATTGCTGTGAAGAGATACCATGACCATGGCAAGTTGTTGGGGTTTTTTTTTTTTTGTTGTTGTTTGTTTGTTTTTAAGACTTACTATGTCTACAGTGTTCTACCTGCTAGAAGAGGGCACCATGTGGTTGCTGGGAATTGAACTCAGGACCTTTAAAAGAGCAGCCAGTGCTCTTAACTTTTGAGTCATTTCTACAGTGCCCCCCCCCAGCAACTCTTATAAAAGAAAAACATTTAATTGGGGTGGCTTATATTTTCTGAGGTTTAGTCCATTATCATCATGGTGCAGCATGGTAGCATGTGGGCATACATGGTGCTAGAGTTGAGAATCCTACATCTTCACTTGCAGGCAACAGGAAGTGATCTCTGAGACACTGGGTGTGGCTTGAGCATACGTGAGACTTCAGAGCCCACCTCCACAGTGATACACTTCTTCTAACAAAGCCACACCCACTCCAACAGAGCCATACTTCCCTTTGGGGGCTGTTTTCTCTCAAACCACCTCAAAAATCAATACATAAAACAAGAAAATAAGCGGCATGTTTGAAAGATGGCGATAGGCATTTACTACCATACTTGGTTTATTCAGTATTGGGGATTGAACCCAAAGTCTCATGCATAAGACAAACACTCTACCAACTGAACTATATTACCAGGCCCCCTCATTTTATTGATGTTATGTGCTACATTTATTGATCTCTGTATGTTGAACTACCACCCTTGCTGTCATAAAATGATCCTGGCTTGGGGATGGGGAAGTGAATATGTAAGCTTCCTGGCATAGAAGCAGGGGAAACTGAACATAGATCTCCAGCACCCATGTAAAAGCTTGGTGTGGTCATGCATCTATAACCCACGTGATAAGAGGTCAGGGACAGGCAAATATCTGGAATTTATGGCCAGAAATCTATCCAATTGTTAAACTCTGGATTCATTGAGAAACGTTTCAAACGATAAAGTAGAATGCCATGTATAGTGGCATACACCTTTCATCCTAGGACTCAGGAGGCAGGTGGGCAGGTTTCTGTGAGTTCAAGGCCAACCTGGACTATGTATTGAGTTCCAGGATAACCAGGGCTCTATTGGAAGATCTGTCTGGAATGATAGAGGCAACTGGCCTACACACATACCCGCTTGATACTACTGGGGATAAGCATATTAAACAAGCTGGTCTCAGACAAGTGCCATGTGCTTTCTCTCGTTCTTCCTGGTTTGTGTATTGCTACATCAAATTCTGTATGTACATGTGACATGAGGGTAGAAGTGGAGCTGTCTGGGGGAAGAATGAGAAATGCAGGGGTGGTGGGCATAGGGATGGGACAGGCTGCACTGACCTGTGTGAGGGCTTACCTTTAGTAAATAAATACTTGCTTTCATCCTAACTTGCCCCTGAACTGAATAGACTGGAAATAGTCTCCAGGAGGTCATTTGATTTAGTCCTTTACCTTTACAGAAGCAAATTACTGTCTTCATAGGAAAATAGCTGAGGTCTGGAAAGTAGGAGTGACTTAACCAAGGTATATAACTTGTTAACATCTGAGCAACCACCAAGGCCTAGACCTAAAACTCAGGTCTGTTCACTGCAACAGGTAGTACACATGTGATCTTTTTTGAACTGGCTTTGGCTTAGTGACCCTCTTCTGTTTTCTTTCTCTACAGGTTTTTTGCACTGACATCCCTTCGTTTTGTATTTTTACTTGCATTCAGCTTGATGATCATTGTCTGTATTGATCAATGGAAGAACAAAATTTGGCCTGAGATAAGAGGTAAAATTTTTAGTAGTAAGAACAACTTGAACTGGCAACAACTTTTTATATGACTTTTATCTTTAGGTTTTGTTTTGTTTTTTTGAGGGGTATGTGTTGCTTGGGACTAATAACTGAAGTCTGAATTATTTGAGGAGATATTTGAAAAGCATAAAGCTGGGCTGGAGAGACAGCTCAGAGCTTAAGAGTACTGGCTGCCCTTCTAGAAGCCCTGAGTTCAGTTCCCAGCAACCACACTATATAATAAATAAATCTTAAGAAAGGAAGGGGGAGAGAGAAGAAAAGCTTAAAGCCTTAGGCCAGGGTGGTGGTACACACATTTAATCCTAGCACTCAGGAGGTAGAGGCAAGCGGACCACTGAGTTCAAGGCCAGCCTGGTCCCTGTAGTGAGTTACAGGACATCCAGAGATGTGTAGAGACCCTGTCTCAGAAAAAGAAAAAGAAAAAAAATAAACTTATGCCTCATCTGTGGGTCATAGAGCTGAGTTATGCCTTTCTCTTGTTAAGTTGATGTCTGTGTCTGCCACCTAGGTGATGTCAGTGAGGAATATGCAGTGTTTACAGTTTTTTGCTTGTTTTGTCTTTTAGACTTAAGTGATCATATTGGATACTGTTATCTACTGAGATCGCATTCATTCATTCTTACTTTATGTGAATGGATGTTTTACCTGCGTGTATGTCTATCACTTCTGTGCCTGATACACACAGAGGCCAGAAGAGGGCATTAGAATCACTGAAATTGGAGTTACAGATGGTTGTTAGCTGCCTCAGGGTGCTGAGAATTACATCCCGGTCCTCTAGAGGAGTAGTCAGTGCTCCTAACTGCCAAGCCATTGCTACAGCCCTTTTTTTGAGACAGGATCTAGTTGTGTTGCTTTGGCTGGCCTCAAACTCACAGAGGTTCATCTAATTCTTCTTTTTGAGTACTGGTATTAAAGATGTGCACTACCATGCCTGGCCATCAAGTAAAACAAAAACAAAACCCAGTGTTTCATGTAGCTAAGCTAGCTTCCAATTTACTATGTAGCTAAGAATGACCATGAACTCCTAATCCTCCTGATAGTACCTCCTGAATGCTGGCATTGCAGGTAAATACTATCATACCTAGCTCCAGGCAGCATCATTTTACCTCCCAAGAATTTCTTTCAAATTATATAATAAGCACTAAGAAATATGGTCTCTCACTAGGCATAGTGGCGCTTGTCTTTAATCCCAGCATTCAGGAGGCAGATGCAGGTGGGTCTCTGTAAGTTCCAGGCCAACCTGGTCTACAAAGAGGACTCCAGGTCTGGAAAAGAAAAAGGAAGAAAGAAATGTTTTGTTTTCAAAAATTTATATCTAAGAAAAATTAATATACTTATTGAAAGAAAAATTAATAGCAACTCTAGGGACAGTATATACTGTGTATGACTGATATAATCATGTATTTTATCTCCATTTCAACCATTGAATAAAGCAAAATATGTAGAAATAAAGAAAGAGAATACATCTAGGCAGGCCAGTAGCTTGATTGAAGAACTACAGACTAATGAAGCATGGGGTCAGACTCTTGTTATGGCAACAATACATTAGGACTTCAGAGTCAGCCTCAGTTATTCAATGAATTGGAAGCTAGCTTGAGTACATGAGATCCTCTCTACAAACAAAAAATCTATCCAACAAACAAAAGAACCACAGCTACCAAAGGGTCTCCTGAGAACAGAGAATGGATCATTTTGGTAGGAACGAGGGGTCTGTTTTTAAGAAAGAACTTAGATTTATAAGTTCCTGAAACTTAGGCTTACATATTTAAGTAGTGAATGAAAGATCATTTCAAGATTTATTTATTTACGTATTTACTTATTTATTTATAGACAGGGTTTCTCTGTATTACTTTGGAGCCTGGCTTGGAACTCGCTCTGTAGACCAGGCTGGCCTGAAATGCACAGAAATCAGCCTGCCTCTGCCTCCCGAGTGCTGGGACTAAAGGCATGCGCCACCAACGCCCAACTATCATTTCAAGATTTTTAAAATTAGAGCTGCATACTGAGTTGAGAGTAAAGAGTAATTGGATAGCATTTTACAGGGTAGATGGAAGAAACCAAAGGGAAAGGCAGACGCTCTGTTAGGAAACTGCAGCTGTAAGAAATCATGATGTCTATGAAACTCAGTGATGAGTGTTTTGGAGAGTGTGAAGGACCATTCTTCAGTATTGATACATAGTGGATGGGTTTAGACTTGGGGGCTTTAAAGTAAGAGTGGGAAGTAAGAGTGGGAGGATGGCATGCACTTAGCGGATGAGGGCAGAAACAATGGAGGCCGGTCCAGGTGGGACACCAAAAGGAAAACTGAAGTGGATTCTGGACATGTCAGGGTTGAAGTGTTATCAGGATGTTTAGACTATAGTATATAGCTTTTAAGGACATTGCTATCTTACTTTATAGAGTCTTCAAGTAATGGCCCTGTGTCATGTCTGTGGATGTCAAAAGACTACATTATTCAGAGTAGATAATAGGTGTCTCTAAAGAAAACAGACAAATCTCTGAGTTGGAGTAGTTACAACATACCTTAGAAGTTTGGCACATCATGATGAGTATGAGCAGTCAGACATACTTGGGACCGTGTCCTCACACACACACCTTGGCTGTCCATTTATACACTTTCTTTCCCCATGGAAAATCCTTTATTTTATTTTTCATGAAGACATGAAGCCATTACTTCATTGTCTGCAGTGTAACATGGGGTCTCTCTTTTTTTTTTCCTTTTGGTTATTAATGTTTACATTTTCCTAAATATTAAAACTTGAACAGTTAGACCTAGAGGCAGCCTAATATTTTCATGTTTAGTTTTGTCTACCAACTAATACTGGTGTTTGTTTTAATATTGTAGTGCCAAGACCTGACGCATTAGACAATGAGAGGTATGGAATACCAATTCTTTTTTGTTGTTTTGATAGATTGTGTTGTATTGTTCTGGTTACATGTTCTTAACCTGGACGCAACATTATACATCTGGTCTGTTCCAAAATAATCACAACAAATTCTACAAGTTCAAGTTGAGAATACTCAATGTCTTTTCATCTTTATAGGATGAAAACTTTCTGGAAAAGGAACTTTAGTGACTTGCAACCTGACATGCCAGGGAAGTAGCTGTATTAGTAAGCCACAGTGTGAAAACTTAAGAGGCCACTAATTTAATTTGTCTCCTGGCTTTCATACTGCATCATTTAGTTTTCTGTGACCTGTGGTCACATTGGTTCCTGGCATCAGCAAGCCAGTGCTAAAGATCCCCGTGTGTCTTACAGCCTCTGCTTTCCTTCCTTAATTCACCTGCCCCATGTTTGATAGAAGGAATTTCCTCTGCTGTGATTTATTTTGGTTTTGCTTTATTCCCTCTCATTGCCTCCCTCTTAGCTGCAGTGGAGTCAGTCAGACTGTGCTTTTACTTGTATTCCTGGATTGCAATAATACAGAATTGCAATGGTCCAAGTGTGGTGAAGATGGTGCTCTAAGCACAAAGGGCCTTGGAGCTAGTGGCAGGTTCATACATGTGGACTGAGCCACTTGCTCATAGGGAGGAGTTGTCAGAACAAGTTTGTCTTCCTCGTCCCCAAATTCAAGTTTCAACCTGGTAAGCCAAGAAGACTCGTTTCACCTGGATAGCCACTCCCACACCCTATTTAAACCCGGAAGCATCGGCTGCTTGCACATCAAGGTTGGGGGGCCCTAAACAGCTTCCTTTCACAGTTCCCCCTTCTCTCTCCCATAGTTGGGGTTTTGTGCACCCTCGGTTGCTCAGCGTGCCCGAGCTCTGCCACCATGTAGCTGAAGTCTGGGTTAGTGGGACCATTTTCATAAGGAATCTTTTGCTTTTCAAAAAGCAAAACCCAGGCAAGGTAAGACCTCTCTTTTCACTGTCAGCTTTGGCCTTCAGTTCAGCTCATGATAAGTTGAAATACTTTTATGATGTATCCTCATTCAGGGAAGAAAGGGCTTAAGGTTCACAGAAACAGAGAGGTTATAGGAAGGGATTCTGACTGGCATTTACAATAAAGGCAAGAGCATGACTCCACTTGGAGTAGTCATTTTCTTTTTTTCTTTTTCCTTTTAATTATTATTCTTAAATTTCTTTTTGTTTGGAGATTGAACTTAGGGCTTCCTGCATGCTAAGCAAGCTCTACAATTGGGCTCCATCTCCAGCCCCACAGAGCAGGCCATCTTCTTGTCTCAGGAAGGAAAGGAAAGCTTGTGTATGTGCATTCTGTGTCATATTAAATGTGATAAATTGTGAGGTTTCATGTATATATATATTTTTTAAACCACCACCAGTACATGTTTACAGAGATCATTTTTGGCTAAAACTTACACCAATTTCCTGGCATGAAAGGTACAGCTGTATGAGGTTAGCCATGTAAATGAATCTGGAGTAGAAGGGAATACTTTCTTGTCTGTCCAAACAGAGTCACCATTGGACTGTGGCTGTCATTCTGACATGTCCATGCTTGACTCAGATCATAAAGAGTCATTAGTCACATCTGCATTAATCCCCAAAAACTTAACTACTGTTTCTTGCTTCTCCCAGTTCTGCTTGCTGAGCTGTGGGGTACTGACCTTTTTGGCCATGTTGGGCCGCTACATCCCTGGGCTCCTGCTGTCCTACTTGATGCGTAAGTGTGAATGTACTTTCCCCCTACAAGCTATATGTTGCTCATAACTTTTCCAGTCATAGCTTTGGGTCTAGAATAGTTGTTCTTAACCTTCCTGATGCTGCAACCCTTTAATACAATTCCTTATGTTGTGGTGACCCCAATCATAAAATTGTTTTCATTGTTACTTCATAACTACAATTTTGCTACTGTTATGAATCTTAATGTAAATATATCTGATATGTAGGATATCTAATATGCAACTCCTGAGAAAGGGTCACTTGACCTTTGACCCACAGGTTGAGAACAGCTGGTCTAGGAAGAATACCATTATACAGTTCTCCAACAATTACCCTTTTTTCATATACTCAGGGCATGATTGGTATCATTAAATGTCTTTTCACATGGAACTGGTACTCCACATATAAAGGCATAAACTCAGTTTCCTTTTGGGGAGCTTGCAGTTCTAGGGGGAATCCAGCCCAGCATGTCATGCATATTAGACAAGTGTTGTGCCCTAGCCCATTTTACTAAGGTGACATTGATGAGGGTTCACTAATGTACATGGTGTCCCATCCTGAGGCACTGCCTCTGTTTATGGAGCTTTCCAGACAGTTCTGAGGTTCCTTCTCTGTGTTCACTCTGGAGGACTTTTCCCTCCTCCACGGTACATTTCTGTAATATAGTTACTTTGTATTGGCGTGTATTGTTGGAGGTTGGAAGAAATTAGTTCCAGGTATTTTATTTTATTTGTTTATATTTTTGTGTTTTTGAAACAGGGACTCTATATAGCCCCTGGCTGTCCTGGAACTCACCAGCTAGGGCAGGTTGGCCTTGAACTCACAGAGATCCACCTGCCTTTGCTTCCTGCATACTGGAATTAAAGGCATGTGCCGTCATGCTGGGCATCTAGGTGTACTATTTTTTATATATAATTTATCTCAGAATCACATGACTGGTTATTACCATTTTGCTTTATGTGTCCACACTTCCTAGTCCTGTCCCTGGGCTGTCTGTGGCATATTATGTTGTGAATGGCCATGACCTGTGCCTTGTGGATATGGCTACACAAGTCCCTGCTCTCAAAACTGTATAATAGGGGTCATTAGTGGAGGTGCCCAGGAGAAGTAAGTAGAATTGCTCTGCAGTGTCGAGTCCTGAGGACACAGTAGCAGTGGGGTAGGTAGGATTGCTTTGTGCCATCTCCACTTTCCTGCTGTTTTACTCTCCTCAGTTGTCACTGTTATGATGTGGCCTCTGGCTGTATATCACCGGCTGTGGGATCGAGCCTATGTGCGACTGAAGCCAGCTCTGCAGCGGCTGGACTTCAGTGTCCGTGGCTACATGATGTCCAAGCAGAGAGAAAGACAATGTAAGTGTCGTGGGGTGGCTTTCTTCTACCTACAGTTAGGAAAGTGGAGAAGCCAGGTCTCACATACTGGCTAAGTCGTTAAGTGGGAGAAATAGGGTCCATGAGATGGCTCAGCAGGTAAAGGTGCTTCCCACCAAGTCTGATGACCTTCATGATGGAAGGAGAAAGCGCGCACACGCACGCACATGCACAAAAGTTGTGCTCTGACTTCCACAGGTGCACCATTTCACATGTACACAGAAACAATAGATAAAAGTAATTTTAAAAATTTCAAGAAGCAGGGGTGGTTGATAGGAATACTGGGTAATAAGGGAGTATAACACCCTGTCTCTGAGAAACCCAGGCAGTCTTGCCAGTTTTTCTCACTTATGCTCCCATTTTAACCCGATTTGAGAAAAACTCCAAATTGAAAGATACTGAAGATGTTCATAGTCCATCTGCTACTATGAAACAGCTTCCAAGTGTCCGAGCCCTGTAATGACTGCTTTTGTACATTGTTTTAAATAACCTTCGCATCAACCTTGAGATCCAAGTGGTTTTGAACTGAGTACACATTGGTGTAGGTTTTTGCACTTTTTTGGATTTTCAAGACAGGGTTCCTCTGTATAGGCTTGGCTGTCCTGGAGCTCACTCTATAGTCCAGGCTGGCCTCAAACTCACAGAGATCTGCCTGCCTCTGCCTCCTGAGTGCTGGGATTAGAGGTGTGTGCCACCATGGCCCAGCAGGTTTTTGTGCTTTTAAGCTAGCCTCTTTTCATTAATGAAAGCTGTCTGCCAAAGTGGATTGAAAACAGCTACCACAGATGCCACAGTACACTACTAGCCTGAGCTTTACATAACACAAAGAGGGTATTGTAAACGGGTCCCTCTCTTTGTTATTATTAATTTGGGTGTCTCATTAAACCCTGGCCTTCAAAGAGTTCCATATGTGGTCACCAGCTTCATTTGGGCTAACTAGTTGAAAAATGTCAGTCCTTAAAAAAGCCTTGTTTAACCAGGGTGAGATCCTCCCTTCTCCTCCCTATGACTGTTCCCACTTACACCACCTTGCTTTGTATTTACCCCTAGCAGATCCTCAGAGTTTCTGGGTGGTTTGGTAGTTTATCATCTAGCCAGAATCTAGAGATGTGTAGGGCTTGGAAAAAGGAGAGATATTGGAGGAAAGATGTAGTCTCATGTGTTACTTAGCCTCAGCATCCTTAACCTTCAGACATTACTGTGCAGACTTAGGGCTATATTTAAAGGGCCTCTTGTGTCCTGATGTTTTTGGAGTCCAAAGGGAGATTTTTTTCCCTTGAAGGCATCAAGGTCTTCTGCTCTTTCCACATAGTGCGCCGGAGAGCTCTACACCCAGAACGTGCCCTGGACAACCATAGTGACAGTGAAGAGGAGCTTGCCGCCTTCTGTCCTCAGGTATCTTGTGTGTGGAAGCTGCTTCACTGGCCCATTTTCTTAATTCCTTTCTATCTGTCTGGCAGCTCACATTTAGATGGTCACCAGGTTTTAAGCCTATCAAAGACTCTCAAGGACCCCTTACTTTCTCAGTAGCAGCACTGAGGAGAGAACCTGACGTTGTATGGGCCTGGTGAACAGCACGTTCACTTGGGTTTCCTTTTATTTTACCATCTTGGAAAAACCCGGAGCTGACATAAGTCTTTTCAGCAGCCAGTACGCCTAGAGGTTTGGTTAATATATTTTGGTTACCTAACACTGCCCAAGCACAAAAGGTTGATGAGAAAATGTTCCCTTTAGGGAAGCAGCCTAAGAGGAGTCAAGGTTGTGGGTATAGTTCCCCATTTATCCTTGGTGTCACTGGTGGGCTTGGATTACTGATGACATCATCTCAGACTTGGTGTTTTCTTTTTCTAAGCTGGATGATTCTACCGTTGCCAGGGAATTGGCTATCACAGATTCGGAGCACTCTGATGCTGAAGTCTCCTGTACAGACAATGGCACATTTAACCTGTCAAGGGGCCAAACACCTCTAACAGAAGGCTCTGAAGGTGAGAATCTTTGACCTGAGCTGATAGTAACTCTGACTTTTGCATTGTAGCTTCCTTGGACAGGGGTTTTACGTTGTTCCCTCATCTCCTGGGTTATGGCTTAAGTAGCAGTCTCACCCAAGGGTGTGGCATGGCATCACTGGTATTGCTGATTTCCTTGAAGTCCCAAGTCCTTTATTAGTCTTCGCCTCTAGCCTTATGGCCATGGTAGAGGAAAACAGGCAGTTCTCCGGCAATTAGTAGTCATGGCCATCTGAGTGGTGACGAGAAGCTAACCAGCCCCACAGGTTTTGCTTTATCTTAAGAAATACAGAGTTGAAGCTGGATGGTGCTGGCACACACCTTTAATTCCAGCACTTGGGAGGCAGAGGCAGGTAGATCTCTAAGTTTAGGGCTAGCCTGGTCTACAGAGTTTCAGGACAGCTAGGGCTACACAGAGAAACTCTTCTGAAATAAAACAAAAAGGTATGGGGTGGGGAAAACTTGGTTACATAGGGGTTGTTTTTTTGTTTTTGTTTTTTTTTTTTTTTTTTTTTTTTGTGGGTCTGGGGCAGGAGGCCAAGTAGCTATCATGTTTCACATACCTGTGTTCTCTCAGACCTAGATGGTCACAGTGATCCTGAGGAATCATTTGCCAGAGACCTTCCAGACTTCCCTTCCATTAATGTGGATCCTGCTGGCCTGGATGATGAGGACGACACCAGCATTGGGATGCCCAGCGTGATGTACCGCCCTCCACCAGGGCCTGGGAATTCCCAGGTCCTGCCTGCTGGTCGGGATGAGGCTGCACTGCCAGAGCTCCTGCTTGGTTCTCTTCCTGGAGGATCTAACCTCACCAGCAACCTCGCCAGCCTGGTCTCCCAGGGCATGATCCAGCTGGCCTTGTCAGGGGCCTCCCAGACAGACCCTTCTGGCCCACCTCCCCGAAGAGCAACAAGAGGGTTCCTTCGGGCCCCTAGTTCAGACCTGGACACTGATGCTGAGGGAGATGATTTTGAACTTTTGGACCAATCAGAGCTGAATCAGCTAGACCCTGCCAGTTCCAGGAGCCACTGAGGAGAGACTCCTTTGAGGGGGCCACTGTGACGTAGGGTTTTTCTCCCCTCTCCACTTACTGTGACGAGGTTAGGGAAGAACCCTGTCTTGTCCCCTGAATTTTATCTGTGTGCCGGGTGGCCTGGCTGATGCAGAGGCCTGCTGAGGACATACTCATTACCTTGCTGCCAGCTGGAAACCATTTTTGTGCTTAGTCACTGAAGTGAGAACGTGCTCCCCCAAGGGAGACTTCCTCCATTAGTGTGGTACTAAAGGGCAACAAAGGGGTATTGATTCCCCTTGAGGAGTCAATATTGAGGCAGTAGTGCTGTTTGCTGTTAGGTCTGGGTGCTCAGGGGCCCTCACTGATTCAGGAGCCCATCTCTTCTCACCTCGTGGGAGCCACAGAAGTCAGGCAGCAGCTACAAGAGTTGTCACCTTTGTCTTTTACCACAATTTGATTTATGTTCTCAAAGCAAGTTTGTCCTTTGGTTCTGCAGGGCAGGCCCACTTCCCGTCCCTGAGCCTATCTTCCTTTCTTGATGGCTGACCCTCAGCACTGCTAAGTGTTTGTAGAATTTAAGAAATGTGAACAGTATGTGGGGCTGAGCCTCTTCTATGTCACCTTGAGCTATAGGGATCAGCTGGCTGGTAGGGTTGGTTGAGTGCCTCTCTGTCTTGAGGTCTCGTGGAATCTTTTGGAGCTGTGTGGTTGTCTTTGGTGCTGTTAGCCCCTGGCTCCATTTGACCATCCGCCTGAGCAGTGAGCAAAGCAATACCATATCCATTTTTATGTTCCTGTTCCTTCCCCTGCTCCTCCACTGGAGAAGCAATAATTCCACAGAGGGTGGCAAAGTAGCACTTTACAAATGGCTGTGGTATTCATCCCAGGAGCCACCAGCTCTTCCTACACCAGCTGTTCTTACCAGACTGCTTCCTGACCTTTAAGGACGAGCCCAGGGAGTAAAGATGTGTAGGTAGTCGGCAGAGCCCCCTCTGCAGGGTGTTCCCAGTCAAATCATGTGAAACAAAACACCCTGATTGATCATTGGTTCTAAACCTTTGCCAGCCTACTGCCTCTCGGTCTCCCAAATCAGAGCTCAAGCCAAATTCTTCTATCCTTTTTCCCTCTTTCATTAACCCTTGCTGATCCTCAGGGACCACTCCCCCAGCACCCCCATATTTGGGTGAGGGATGTTGGACAGAGCCCATCTTCGTGTGCTGTAGGTTGGGGGTTGTGCCGACACGTTTGCTCTTGGTTGATGGACAAGGTGCAGAGGCCAGGGAGTGAAAGTACTTCACGGTGAGAAGGGGAATGGCTAGGTGCCTGTGTCATAGACACTGAGTGTGGAAGTTAGGGGTGATGGCATCTCCTCACTTTAGGGTTCTCAAATGCTTTGGACATCTCTTTCCTTAGAGCCAGATATCTTACAGGTGAGCTCTATGTGGGAAAGAAAATGGGAGGTGAGGGAAAGGAGTGGGATTTTGCGTGTTTGCATGAATGTGTAGCTTCATGCCTTGGGAGTTGGCAAGAGGAAGAGGGAGGGAAGGAGAGCAAAACCCAGAAAGGTCTTTGTTGTACCAGTGGGATCCTGCTCTGAATCTCCCGATCCTCCACTGTGAATTGGGGGTGGGGTGGGAGTGGGTGCTGGGGAATAAATCTTGTATGAGAACAATCTTTAAGGACTGCTGTTGCATGGTGTGCTCCTTTGATAGGTCTTCTCTCACTAAGCAGGTAATAGCTAATTTGAAGCCACATGGGTGCTAGGAACCAAACCAGGGTCCTCTTGGGGGGGGGGGTGGGGAAGCAAGTGCTTTTAATTGCTGAGCCATCTTTCCAGCCTCATTATTCCATTTTTATTTTTATATTTCCATAACAGGGTATCTCAAATAGCCCTGGCTGTCCTGGAACTAGATTTGTAGATCAGGCTGGCCTTGAACTCAAAAGATCCATTTGCCTCTGCCTCCCAAGTGCTGGGATTAAAGGTGTGAGCCACCATCCGGCTTTTTTTTTTTTTTTTTTTTTTTTTTTTGGTTTTTAGAGACAGTTTCTCTGTAGCTTTGAAGGCTGCCCTCAAACTCTGCCTTAAGTGCAGGGATTAAAGGCGAGCTCCACCATCGTCCAGCTTTCATTTTTAATTCTTTTTTTCTTTCTCTCTTTTGTTCGTTTGTTTTGTTTTTTGAGACAGGATTTCTCTGTATTGTTTTGGAGCCCGTACTGGAACTCGCTCTATAGACCAGGCTGGCCTCGAACTCAAAGAGATCGGAGCGCCTTCGCTGCTGTGCACCACCAACGCCCGGCTCATTTTTAATTCCTAACAATGCCCCTTCAAGTGGAGACATGTTTTGAACAAAGGCTAATGAAGTTTTAGCAGAAGGTTTGAAAAATTAATACTGTGCTCTTCCACGGACTCTGAGCTGCAAGACAGCTGCTCTTTGACCTTGAGCAGACCTCAGAAACTAGAAATATTTATTTCAGGCTCCACCGGACTGGCCACTGTGGTCAGGAATGGAAAGCACCTGTCAGGTGTTGCTGCCTGGGCTAACTGGCAACTTTGCTTTGTGGCTTGAGTAGCCTCTGCTCCAACCGTCTTTCTGGACGTTAAGACCACAGCGGGTGGCGAGCGCTCCCTACAGGCCACACAGGGAAACGGCCGCCGTTGTGTGCTCGCTTTCACAGCCACCCTCTGACGGGCACCCACGGGCCCCGCTTCGCGAGCGAGAAGTAGACACGCTCCCGTGAGTGAAGCCCTTGACCCTGAGCGGCGCGGGAGCTGGACCCCTAAGTTTCTTCCCGTTCCGACACCACCTGGGCCTAGCTCGGGTCACGAGTGCTCAAACACCGCGGCTTAAAACGGCCGGGGCCGCTCACTCCAGCCAGCGCGGAGGGCCCGGGGGCGGCCACACACTCGTCGCAAAGGCCGACGGCTAAGCTTCTGGGCCGCGGCGGAGGGAGCTACGGGGCCTCGGAAGGGTCGGGCGCTTTTCCGGAAGACTTCTCCTGCAGCCAATCAACGTTAAGACCTTCCCCCTTCACCGGAAGGAGGTGTCTCCCGGAGCAACCAACCAGCCCGCTGTCGAGTTTGGTGGCGGGAAAGGAAGGCCATGAGTAAAAGCCGGGCCGAGGCTGCGGCCGGAGGTAACGGCGGCGCCCGCAGGACCCGGGAGGGGAGCGGCCAGGGGGCCACAGGTGACCCCGTCTCCCGCCTCGTCTCCCACAGCCCCCGGGATCATCCTGAGGTACCTGCAGGAACAAAACCGACCCTACAGCGCCCAGGACGTGTTCGGAAACCTGCAGAAGGAACATGGACTGGGCAAGGCGGTGAGCCCCCTCCTTTGCGGGGTCCCCTCCCTGCTGAACTCCCTTATTTAGGCTTGGGTCCCCTTTTCCCTGTCACCGGCAGAAATCCACCCTGTCTACGTTCACTCTAATTGCTCCACCCTCCCCTCGGCCAGGCGGTGGTGAAGGCTCTGGATCACCTGGCCCAGCAAGGCAAGATCAAGGAGAAGACGTACGGAAAGCAGAAAATTTATTTTGCAGATCAGGTGAGAACGCCCGCAGATTATCGCCCACCTGAAAAGCCTGATTGAATCAACTGCCAGCATTAACTAGTTAGAGGTGTTGCGGCACCTCACAAAATTTAACCTTCAGGCATGCATTTTTGGTTTATTTACTAGTCAGGGTTTCTCTGTGGCTTTGGAGGCTGCCCTGGAACTCACTCTATAGACCAGGCTGGTCTTGAACTCAGAGATCCGTCTGCCTCTTCCTCCCGTCGCTGGGATTAAAGGCGTGTGCAACCACCGTCCTGCAGGGCTTCAGACATTCTTAAATCAGGTGTACACTGATCCCACTTCATCAGTGTTCATTTGAGGCAGGAATAGATAGAAAACCCTGGCTTCTTGTTAGCCTCATTTCCACTTGGAAGGCCTTTACCTCTGCCAAACGCTTTTTCTTCTCTTCCCCTGCCCACTACCCCAAACTTGTCAAATTTGTATTTCCCCTCCCAGACTTCTCTCGGGATGCCTCTGAAATATTATCAGTTATCAATGTGGACAAAGTAGAATGCTTAATCTCTGCCTCCCTCCCCAACTAGCTTCCTAGCATGCTGTGGTAAGGGAACCAATTTCCCCCAATTATTGGTTTCTTTTTACCTCACATGTCTGACATGTTTGGTTATTTACCAATTAGGTTTGCTCTCCCTGACCCACCCCTTTTGGAGAGTAAAGGATATAGCTGAGGGAGGCCTTGAACTTGCTCTTTTAACCCAGCCTCCTAAGTTTACAAATGTGTATGTGTATTGCCAGACTGGCTCAGGTTTTTTTCCTTTATTAATTCTAACCGGTTTTCGCTGCTCCTATTGTAGGGCACTGACATCTTGGCTATTGTAGCCAGAATGATCTAAATGCAAATGGGGCTGGTCAGATGGCTCAGTGGCGTCACTGTATTTTTAGACTTTATGAGGCATTTGGTCTCAATTCTTCAACTCTGCCATTGTGAGACAAAGGCAGCCATTCACATACAAGTGAATGGACGTGGCTACAGATTACATGCAGCATTTGAGCAGCAGGCTCCTGCTCTTCAGGGTCACCTTGCCTAAGTCACAGTCCATCCTTTTTGTCTAGCATAGGACCCACTCAGCCTCTTCCACTGGAGAAGTTTCTCCACTTCTGAAGGAATGTTGCTTCATTCCTTTAGACCATGAGTGGTTTTTATCACTAAATAGAAATGTTTCTCATGTTTTTTCGAGATGTGGTCTCTCTACATAGCCTTGGCTGTCCTGGAACTCAATATGTAGTTTCAAACTCAACTCTGCCTTCTGTGTCTCCCGAATGCTGCGATTAAAGGCATGGGACTGCACACCCATTTTCTGTCTGTTTTTGCCAACCAGGAAGCTCCTGAGGACAGGCCTTTCATTTCACCTCTTATCTTTGTGCCTCACATGAACTCACTTGTATTTCTCCTCCTGGCTGGTAGGACCAGTTTGACACAGTGAGTGATGCTGACCTCCACAGCTTGGATGCCAAAATTGTGGCCCTCACAGCCAAGGTGCAGAGCTTACAGCAAAGCTGCCGCCACATGGAGGCTGGTAAGACCGGGAACACCCTCCAAGGTGCCATGGTTTGGAGGTCACAAATTGCCAGCAGAGTGGTTCCTTATCTGCACTGCCTTATTGCAATCGGGCAACCTTTGCCAGGTGCCTAGGCTATTACATTGAAAGAAGGGCAGGATTAAGTGTGGCTTTTGTGTACAAAATGGCAAGACAAGCCACTTGCTTCCCCTGCCCTATATGAGCACATTGCATCTTATTTCTACTTTACTTACCTGTGCATCAGTCTGCTCAATTTTATATGCCATTGTTGCTTTTAGATGAAGGATAGAAAACTAATTATGCTGTAAGCCTTTTTCTTGAGCTTTTCCAGAATATGGGGTCTTATTCTGGAGAGGTCCCAGACCAAGACAGAAGCTGACCTCCCACCTCTAGGAAGCACCTGTTGAGCCCTTCTCACTGGTACTTGGGGGGGGGGCATGTGATTTCAGAGCTGAAGGAATTAACAAATGCACTGACCACTCCTGAGATGCAGAAAGAGATCCAGGAGTTAAAGAAGGAATGTGCTCACTACATAGAGAGACTGAAGAACATCAAAGCAGCCACCAACCATGTCACTCCAGAAGAGAGGGAGAAGGTGAGCTGGGAGGCTGCCTGTGCAGGTCTGGAGTGAACATGAGGTGCACAAGCGAGGATCATGCTTCTTCCTTGCAGGTGTACAGAAAAAGGCAGAAGTATTGTAAAGAGTGGAGGAAGCGGAAGAGAATCGTGAGTGAGACCTCCAAGGGTGGCTCGGGAACTGACAATCTCCAGGGAAATTTCTGTGGGAAGTGACCCAGTAGGCAGTGTCCTGTGCTGCCTGCCACTGCCCATCTGAAGGAGCTTTGTTTCTTGTCAGACCACCGAGCTATGTGATGCAATCCTTGAAGGGTACCCCAAGAGCAAGAAACAGTTTTTTGTAAGTGACTTTCGCTTGCTCCCCTGGGATCTGCCTAGCCTGCTCCCCTAGAGGACGCCTTCATTTCTCTCGTTGCCCCACAGGAGGAAGTTGGCATAGAGACAGATGAAGATCACAATGTTACACTCCCAGACCCCTGAGGGGGCCCTTGAAGACCAGGAGCAGGTGTCCTGGGCTGGCCACCTTTGAGGTTGGGGAGAGAAGTACACAGGTGATAATCAGAGATGGTCATGTCCATTTTGTTTTCCATATTATAGAGCCTCAGCAAGGACTTATAACAACCTAAAGGAAAGTATGGAATATTTATTGTAATATAATTTGATATAAAAATACTTAATTTTCTCTGGATTATCAAACCTCCCAGATATCAAACCTGGGGAAGGGAACATGGGAGAGAAAAATACAGAAAGGTTGTCAACACACCAACATTTGAGAATCCCAAGGCATCACCCTGGCCTACCCCAGACAACCTGAGTGTCTTCTGTAGCTATCCCCAAGTCTTGGGGAAAATGTAGGCAACACACTGGAGGTGGGCATTACACACAGGCGGGGTGCTCTTGAGGTCCAGCCAGTATTCAACTATAACAACTGTTGGTCTCTGGGAAGAGACGGGGCAAGAGCTGACAGGACATTGCTTCCTCTGGCACCCGCAGTGGGTGGCTGAACATGAGGGGACAGCAGGAACCTGGTAGGCCTCCCCAAGCTGGCTACAACGCTCTGGCCTTACTCAGTACTAGCCTAGGCACAAAGTGGCCTTTCACCCTTCATGGCCACGGGACTATTTCTTTTCCTTTTTTCCAATTCAAAAACTGCCAACTACCCAAACTTGAGCCAAGTGTTGCCCAAGAGACCAAGCAGAGGCAAACAATTTCCAAATTATATATATAGTGAGCAGAAACCCAATGGTTAGAGAAAGGGCTGAGGAGCCTATGAGGTTCCCTGAATAGAGTCTTGTCCTAGAGCTGTTCCTGGGAAGGGGAAGGTTGGGTGGGTCCAACATTGTGGGCAGTATAATAAATTAATGAGACGCTTTCACAGAACTTAGCCTCCGGTGAAGCTGAAGCAGGGCTGGGCAAACCAAACACCAAGTAGAAACCAGCTGACCGGTGTGAGGTGTTGCAGTCAGTCTCACAGGCCCAGCAGTTCTACAGCCAAACAGACTAAAGGCCTCTGGCCTGCAGGTTTCCAGGAACCATCAGTAGAGTTGGTTTTTCAATTGATGGAGGACGCCAATCACAATTTCTCGAAGAGTCTAGGAGAGATAATGGTCAAGTGACAGCACAAAAGATGGCTGCCCAGCCCACACATGCTCTAGAAGAGAGCATTTAAAACAGTCACCTCAGGGCTGGACAAACTTAGCTTGGTAGAGCACTTCCTTCCGAGCACTCAAAGAGGGCTGGTGAGATGGCTCAGCCAGTTAAGTCTCCTGCCATGCAAGCCCACTGACCTGAGTTCCATCTCCCTAGTGGAAGGAAATATCTGACTAAAGTTGTGCCCTGACCTCTCCATGTGTGCTATGGCACGCATGCATGTGCACACACACGCTCATACTCAACAAGGTTGTGGGAGAGCTAGAGAGATGTCTCATTGGTTGAGAGTATCTGCTGCCCTTGTAGAGGACCCAGGCCTTGTTCCCAACACCCAAACAGTGGCCCACAACACCTGTGACTCTAGTTGCAGGGGATGAAACATCTGGCATCAGACACACATGATGATGCTCAGATGTATGCAAACAAAACCGTGTGTGTGTGTGTGTGTGTGTGTGTGTGTGTGTGTGTGTGTGAGTGAGAGAGAGAGAGAGAGAGAGAGAGAGAGAGAGAGAGAGAGAGAGAGAGAAACGTTTTTTTCAAGTGAAAAACCCTGAGATGGAATGCTGCTGCTTTTAATTTTCAGATATTCCTGAAACAATGGAGACACAGATGAATATATATCACTGGTATAACTGGCATGGTGGGCATGGGTGTTCACTGCAACACTCTTTTAAGTGTTGCACTGTATTTCAAAGTGAAAATGTTGAGAAACAAAGGGAGAAATCTGAGGAAAAAACAGCCAAGCCTCAAGAGCAGAAAATAGCACGCTTAAAAAGCCCGGGACTACAGTGGGGTGGGGGTGAGGGTGTCTTGTAATCTGTGTTTCATGTTTCTAGAAACGTCTAGTAACTACTGCTAGCTTCTATACAGGACAGCCAAGAAGTAGAGTGGCTAATGAGTCACCAATGACATGGGCCAAAGCTGGACCTGGCACTGAGTGCTCACATCACCGTTAGAAGAAGAGACCTTCACTGGGCTAGGCAGCAAATAGAAATAGAATTCTAAACTTGTAGACATCCTGTAGGGTCCCAAAGGTACCTACCTTGCTGTTCTGAATGGCTTACACCACTCTGCTTGGAGTTTGTAAAAGAATCCTAGACCCCATGTCCCCTGCTGCCACATACCTGTGGCTCACAGTGTTCCTCAATCCAGCTGAAGACACAAGCTGACAGCTCCTGGAAGCTGGCCACAGAGATGGAGGCATTGAAAGACTGGAATAGGGAGTCCATGATGCCTTGAAACACGTTGAATTTCACCTGGTCAGAGACCTGGTCCTCTCCCTCATGAGGGTTGTCCTGATGTGCCTTCACAATTTGCTCATAGTTCCTAAAAGCATGCAAGCAAATAGGGCTGAGGTGCCACAGCAGGTCCACCAACCTGAGAAGCTTGGTGGTATAACCCGGAGGTCACCCCGAAGAGGACCCCAGACCTCTGGGAGTGCGTTCAATACCCCTAAACACTACCAAGTCAGAAATGAACTCCCTGCAACCTACCCCTTGTTAACCCGACAGGCGTCCTGTATGTCTTATACTTAAAAGGCTGAAGGGGACACGGTCCTGCCTTACAGTATTTACATGCATTCTCTGATACAGCCTTTGAACAAGAGAGGAGTGTACTGGAGGTGACTTCAGCACCCTCAGTCCAGCACCCCCAGTCCACCCCCCAGTTTCCCTCAGCTCACCCCCAGTCCACCCCTCAGTTTCCCTCAGCTCACCCCCAGTCCACCACCCCTCACACTTTTTTTTGTTTTGTTTTTTTGTTTTTTTTCTCCGAGACAAGGATTCCCTGTATTATTTTGGAGGCTGTCCTAGAACTCGCTCTGTAGACCAGGCTGGCCTGAAACAGAGATCCTCCTGCCCTGCCTCCCGTGCTGGGACTAAAGGAGTGCGCCACCAACGCCCGGCCCCTCTTACACTTTCATTATCTTCAGAGCTGTGACATCCTTGCGCAAGGTGGATACTTCTTCCTCCTGCTTTTTCTTCTCCTTGTGTAAAAACTGGATGTAGTCGATGGCTAGAGTAGGGGCCAAGAGAGGGGCTGGGAACAGCAAGTCTGAACCCGTTCCCCTATAAGCCAACTTTCCCCTTCCGGCCACCACACCTGGTCAGACCAGTGACAGCTCCTCCCAGTCACTACCACCCCCACCCTGTTGCCTTAGTCATACTCTTCTGTAGAACGATGGCTTTGCTGAGTTTTTGGGAGCCAATGGAGAAGTCCTGCTGCTGGCAGGTAGGAACGATGGTCTGAAGATCATCATAGCCTCTCTGGAAACAGCAGGGAAACAGGTTTCTTAACTCCGGTACAAGGCAAGCTAGCACAACCTTTTTGTACAGGTTCTGTGCTCAGAAACTCAAAGAGTTGAGAGGAAGGGGCACAGACTAGCCTAGCCCCCTCTTCCTGCACACTCGTGGGGCTAAAGAGTCAGGGTGGAGTGAAGAACCATGCAGAGCCCTCCCTTGCTGCCTGAGGTACAGGCCCTTAGTCACCTTGATAGCATCCCTCCTCTTCTGTTCAGCTTGAGTGTGAGCACGCCGCCTCCGGTCTTTGTAGGACTCCTTGTAGGACTCTTGCTGATAATCACTGTCCTCATCATCTAAACTCAGAGATGGAGGCAGGGAAAGGTCACTGTAGGGTTCACTGAGTCCAGTAAGCACATCTTTCCCTAGTTTAAGGACCTGATGCCCAGAGATGGCAAATGGAAGAACCCAGTATCTTGGATGAGGTGAAAGATAGTGAGATTCAGGCTTGGCCTGCTCCAGCCACCCCCAGGCGGACAGTGGAGCTCCCTATTTAGGAAAGATACTAAGATGATGGCATAGCTATGTTTCCCCAGGTGTGGGGGAGATTGTGTTGCTGCCTACCTGTGTTGGGGACGGAGGAGGCACTGGTGGAGCCGATGCTATTAGCTCTGGACACTACACTCCCCTTGTGGGTGCTTTCTACAAAAAGCCCTAGAAAAAAAGATGCCTCAATCACTAAGGAGTGGGGAATATTGCCAGGCCCTCAGTCACCTATGAGCAGAGTGGCTTCAAGTTCTGACTTCTCCACATCAACTCCAAAGCCGGCCACCACGGGTCACCCATTTCATGCTGCAACGCTCCCGTCTGCTATCTACGCTGCTTGTAGAACTGTAATTTCTGGCTCACAAAGGGACATCTGGATGCAATGAACATGACCAGCTGTCACTGTTTCCCATCACTTCCTTTTCTGAGCAGAAAAGCCAGGTGTGACCCATGGTTGCTGTCCTGATTATCCTCCACCCCTCCCTCTTCTCAAGCCAGGACCTTGGCGCAGTAACCGTGTGGACTGTGCTCAGGTGTGGCTGGCAAGACCAAAGATCTACACAGCCGAAACAGGTCGTTCGTGATGCGAAGACAGGGGAAGGCGGCACTCACCAGGGTCCAGGCTGTTGTCACTGTAGGCATACTCGACCTGCAGCATCAAGCAAGGGAGACGCCTGTCAGACCGTGCCTCTAGGAAAAGGCACCCGCAATCCACGGATGCATGAACTGTGGGGGCCGCTGAATGGTTCTCCCAAAGCCAAGCCTGGCTAGGCCGCAGGGGTGCCGCCCCCTCTATATGGTCCCTGCCGTCCCCGCCCCACCTCCACCTCCCAGGCACGTCCCCCTTGTTCCCGCACACACGCCTTATTTGTCTCCCCACCTTGGCACACGCCGGGTGAGAGCTGTCTTCTCTGCAGCCCCGGGGCCCGGACAGCAGGGGAGACTCTGGGGATAGCTGGGGAGCCCCGCGTCTTCCGGACCCCCTACGTGCACGAGCCCGACCCGCCCTCCCCTCGCCGGCGTGCGCGTCCGCGGAGCTTGCCTTGACCCAAGGGTCCTCCGGAGAGGCGCCCGGCTCCGTCATCGTGGACCTACCGAACCGGAAACAAGCCTGCGGACTGGCCCCCAGCCTCCAGGAAGAGGCGAGGCCCGGTCACGTGACCCAACCCACCAATCCGCACTCGCGAGCATGGGCGGGGCGAAGGCGCTACGCTTGCGCGGCTCCAGATAGTAAACGCC